AGTCCCTCCCCCATCCACCTTTTTCCTTTTCTTTACAATAATGAATCATGGTTGTACGGCAGTGAAGCATCGGTGTTGAACACTGATGTCATGCTGTTTGAAATTGTTTCAATTCGTGTCCGTCTTTAGAGAGAAATGATTTTGATTTGTGGCGACAAATCACATCGGACTAGTCCACAACTTGGAAGAAAGATGGCCTTGTATCTCATCGGCTGGCCTAGTGACTATTTTTTCATGTTCAGAAACCGGAACCCAGTGCCGACAACTTTGGACTGTGTCATATTTGCTTCAAAGTATACCGAAGTCCAACTGACCCTCCAATGCCCTCATGGTGTAACGGCTATGGGCAGGTCTTGTCACGTTTTTGAATAGGCGCTTTTCTCTGTAGTACAATGGGATATTCAAACGAATAATTGCTCCGCCACTGAGCCCTCTGAAGGAATCACGAAGGTCAAGATACTGCCAAGTTGCTAAAGCCTGGAAAAAAGCAGGCGAAATGCTGAGGCTGGGTTCGAACCACGTGCTTTCCGGTCACCTTAACCGCTGATCTCTCACTCTCTCTCGAGCTCAAGCGAACGAAGGGGCACGGACGATCGTCCTGTTGGTTTCAGGTGCTGTCTTCCAACTTATTCGTCGTTGAATCACCGTCATCTCACTGCTCGCCAAAGGACACTACGCACCAAAACACCTGGGGCAGTTTGTATCCGGGTGTCGTGAACTTCGGGATGTCTTTACGCATGGTGCTACTGGCAAACACCTGTCTACAGCGTCCAGATAGAAATGGACGTTGACTTATCCCATTTGTGATGCGGAATACCTTATTGGCCGAGGTGCGAGCTTACTTATCGGGAGATCCGTGTTTCGAACCCACCCATGGTCTAGGCTTGGACAGGCTAACTCATCTGGCAAGTTAGCTAAGTACAACTAAAAAATTACTGATATTTTATTTGTGATTCGGTACATCATTTTCTGCTTAATCTACTTTTATTTAGTCGATGGGTTACTTGCATCCATGAATTTGAAAGGTGAAGAACGTTCTTCAGGTAGCCCCCTCCATCGTTCGCTCTTCACAGCTATACACTTTAGGGAAAATCCTTACATCCCCTGTTATATTGGCCAGGAACCGGTTTACCAAAATTTCAACCAAACAAATATGTTGCGATGCAAACCTTGCTTAGTCCTGTGGGCACATGGGCTTTCTGTATAGACCAATACCAGCGAGGATTGTTGTACTAGGCGGAACACACTACTCATTACTTTACTGAAAACTCTTCAACGATTGGTTTCACCCTTCTTGGTGCTCGTCAGGTAGGCGCAGTCCCCAAGTTTCCGTCAACCGTGAGTTGTAATTGTTGTATTCACCTTCACTTGACAAAAACAACTATTCCGGTAAAGGAAACTACTCACAAGTTTGCTGAAAACCCTTCGACAACCCTTCAGCAACCTTGTGAGTAGTTTCCTCAATGAAAATATACTGCGATATCTGGAATATCGTGGCAACTAAATCATGAGGCGACCTGTGTGCAGCACATTCAGCTGGAGGACATCATAAACGAGAGATTCCAATTGAGTCTCCCGTGAAAATCAAATTGATTCACAAATGAGTGTATTTCTCGAAAACTATTCTGGTACTCTGGAACGTTAATTATGGTCAACTAAGCCTTTAAAAAATCACAGATCCTATCGATCTCTTCGACTGCAGCATTTAGAGACACCTGCCAGTTGACCTTGATAGCGATTCACGACCTACTGACAGATGAATCTTAAATGGCAGTAAAAAAATTCAGGAAAACGAGTGAACTCAATAACATTCCTTCGATAGCAAAGTGTCGTCCCTTGCCACATAGAAACGTTTCCCGAAGCCCTGCCATCATCATCATCATCATCATCATCATCAGCTGTAATGACCGCGTACTCATCGTACAGTGATTGCAGCTGCCGCAGTTTCGTTCACCGATGATTTGGGGGAGGGGGTAGATAGCTGCGCATTGCAGGCGCGAGCTGGTAAGTTGGTGCATAAATCCAGCATTGTCAGTGGGCTGTCAAGTGGGGTGGTGGTGGAAAAGGAGCTATGCATTGAAGGCAATAGCTTTGATGCACGAGCGCCATTGAGGTCGCGACTGGGCCATGTCTGACAATGTCTCCAGCCATTGATGTGGCCCGCCTCATCCAGGAAGACGGCAATGACCAGCGCAGCTGAGCTTTCACATATCGCTGCCAAGTCATTGTTCGACCGCCTCTGGCTCTCTTCCACTAGTACACTGGAAGCGGTCCATGGTCCAAAGTAAGACCACCTATCTCGTGCGAATGCTCTCGGTTGACACCACTGTTACGACAAACACGGCTTGAATAACAAGCTTTCCGAGCAGACAGCCGAAATTCATGGGCCACCACGACTGGTTTGAAAATTTATATTACTTAAGGCTGTTCAATTCACAGGTATGCTACACATGGCAACACTGTAAAGGGTTTGGAGCTACCGGTTCTATCACAGATTGTTGCAGAGAGGTATGAATGCAGAAAGGGACTGACAACAACTTTTAAGCGTGTCGTGGACAAGACTTAGCTCCACAGTGCACACGAGTGTTTACCTCGGATTATGTTGCTTTCGTTAATCATGCACGAAAGTGACCAGGTTAAAACACGTCCGTTCCAACCGTTCACCATATCCTTGTTTTGTCTCTTCCGTTAGAATGCACTCTCTGGAAAGCTCAGTTCACGATGTCTCCATGGACAAACCTTTGCATAAGAAAACAACTTCGCTTGGATCGCTTCTCTAGTCGCCTCCTTGAGAAATTACTCCCTCTTTAGACTCGGAATGCAAGGCTCTTCTCCTGTCATATGGCAAGCAAGAAGAACACTACCACCGGAAAGTCTTACATGAATGATTCGAATGCGACAGTGTTTTCCAGACCAGAGCTAACTTGGTCGATAATTGATCCAAGAATAGATTTGCAGCGGTTAACACAGCTTGACTACAGTGCGGTAGCTCATATTAACCCGGCGCCTGTCGGGTTCACAGCTAGAACAGAATTTATTTGAGCTTAGAAACAAGACACAGGTACAAATGGTGCGGTGAACCTACATGTTCTGACAGTCTAATATTTGCTGTCATTCTGTGATAGAACGAACCCTCTCAACATGGATTTGTTTTACCTCTCAGGGAAGTTATTCTCTTTGAGAAATACACTCGTTTGCAAATCGATTCGGTTTTCACGAGAGACTCAACTGAATCCCTCGTTTATGATACGCTACAATTTGGGTTCAAGTAGAACATGAGGTTGACGGAAACTCGGGGACTGCGCGCCTACCTGATGAGCCCCAAGAAGGGTGAAACCGATCGTGGGCTGTCGAAGGGTTTTCAGCAACCTTGTGAGTAGTTTCCTTTATGAAAATTTCTTCTATTGTTTTTCACCACGAAACCCCTCAGACTACACACTGGCGTCAACTGTTTGGAAATCTGTACCTCTTATTATCCTTGCCGATCTGATATATGATGTTATCACGATGTTTCACAAATGACCAGAGTGGAACTTTCGGTCTCTCACGCAACCCAACCTATGCGTGGTTTAACAGTCAGTTCTCGCAGGACGAACAAGTCAACTCACTAGTGAAATTCGTGTTTTTTCTGTATCGTCTGGAGAATGAGAAAAGAAAAAGAAGAAAGCGTTCAGCTGCAGCACCCTAACGGTGCCTAGCTGCCATGCCACCCGAAGGAAGCACGAGGGCTGGGATACTGCCAGGTCGCCCAAGCCTAGACAGGGGAAGTCGAGTGGCGGATGTCGGATTCGAACCACGGACCTTCCGGTCAGTAAATTGCGCTCTAACCACTTGGGCTACCTCGACCCCCTGGAGAATATTTGCATCACAACTTCGATGGACTAGGGTCCCTGCGGGAGACGCGCCAGTGGTTCGAAAGTTTCCACTTTGATGATTTCCACAAGCGTACATTTCGCTTCAATATGAGCTTTGAGTTTGCGTAATCTGGATTCGAGCATCGGACTGTAAACTCTGCGCTGCTTCGACTCGTTGCATACACCGACAGCACGCGACGGTCGGACTCGAGCTAGCTGGATTGCACGGGTCGTGACTGAGGAAAGACTTGAGTTCCTAGCCACTTCTGAAATCTTGTTAGCTAATCGTTCTACTCCGAATAAAGTGCCTTTCAGAATGTGGAGGCTGTTAGACCTCTTCCTGAGTTAAAGATGTCTCTGGCTGCGTTACCTTCCACCAACCATCCCCAAATGCTTTGCCGGGAGGTTTTGTAGAGCAGACCGGTCAGAAATGAAGCAAAATCCACAATCAATGACCTGATCGACCCACATAACTTTCTCATTAATAGCATACTGTTTGGAAACCGATAACAAGTGTGCACGTTAAGGCAGGTCAGTAGGATTTAACAAGCGGATGAGGTGGATCCGTTAACCCCCTAGCTTGCTTCGCCCATGGACTGCTAGTCATAACCAGTGTCGACAGTCTTGTGGAATATAGGTAGCCCAGGTGCGCTAATTGGTTGTTGGTCTGTTCGTCGAGCTTGGCACCAATCGAGGCGACATCCTCGTCAATCCCGTCACTCCGATTGGTTATGAAACGTTTGCAATCCAACTACCAAGCTCGGCGCGCAGACCAACATACGCTTCGATTGATGAAGTTGGCGGAGTTTAATAACCCAGTTGCACTGGTGTGGTTCATAGGGTCGTGAGCCATTTTAGTGGGGACTGCAAAAACTTAGGCGCCAGTCTGAAAGTGATGTATAAAAAACATGAGTAAAAACGTCCAGATCCTAGAAAAAATAACAAATCTGCCAGGTGTTATCTTGGTGACTAATCTCTGCGTTGCTAGGCTATTCATTCAGACCATTTTCAAGGTGACACTGAACCTAAACGACTATCTGAAATATAACGACCCCACACTAACGAATTTCTAAATGACAAAATGAAAAGTTGCAAAACAAAAGACCGTTCTCATTTGGCCACTCCATCAAGCTTGACAGTACTTACCACAAATAGAAAATTCAAAACGAACAAAGCGATTTTGCTGATAACGAAACAGGCCTTCATGATTCCGTGAAAAGTGAAACCAAGTTGGCACACACCAAGTCGCACAACTGAACGGAACAAGTGAACTGGATTGTATCCAGTTCGTGTTTCATCACACTGTCTCGCCGCACATCACGCAATTCGTCAAGCGCGATTCGTCCACCCACATCGACCAATCGATTGAGGAGCGTGCGAGTGTGTGCGTACGTGCTTGCGCGCGTCTGTAAGCTGTTGCACTTGCGTGCGTGTGTGTGTGTGTGCGCGCGTGTGTGTGGACGTACACCATGCATGCCAGTGGATGTGGCGCCCGCTACCGAATGAACTGTGCTCGGTCGAGTGCTCATGCAACAAGGTCGCCGCACACAGCATTGCTCGGAATTTTTGCGGGTTCGCAAGTGGGCGCCAAGTGATTTGCACGTGCAGTGATATTTTTTTTTTGAGAAAAAAGGAACGGCATGAAAATCATATTGAAGGTCACGGACTGTATGACCATTCCGAAACGGAAATTCTGTCTTTGTTCAGTGTGAAACTCGGATGACTGTGGAATATCGGGGTGGTTGAAAGATGATCAGACTCATAGGTTGAATGGACGTCATTCACGCGGACTAGACCTCTTAAAATGTCATCATCTCCCCTTACTGTTAATGATTATGACAAATGCCATTATCGAGAGACAATCAAGTGGCATAGAAAGAAGATGAGTTAGCCTTTCCTTTCAGTATGAAGGAAGACAGAGTAAGTTCCTTGCTCTGAATTCGAAATAACTGTGATGATGAACTCGATTGGCCTTTCATTTGAGTAGGACTGTATCTCGGACCACTTATGGAGGCTTGTGTGGGCTCCTGGAATAAAGGAAACCTAGCTAGAATCTGGCAGAAAAGACCCCTTTTTGGGAATCGTCTTTCATTTAAAGACACCTCTTGAGGGCACCAAGGCAAGCATTTGATCTGATGGACTCGTTTCGCGTGTTGGCCAATTTTATGATTCGAGAAACTTCTGGGATATTAAACATCCTGCTATGAGTCAAAGGAATTAACCACCGTCTAGTTAAGTTGTCAAAAGCTTCACGCAAACTGACCGGTAGGTTAGTTAATTGTCGATCCATTAGGTCACTTAAAGATCTTTCCATGCACGCCCTATCAGAACTTTCCGGAGACTGTGGGTAAATGCATATTCTTACTAGGAGTGAAACAGCTAAAAGAGAAATATGGCCTGCGAGCATTCCTCTGATAGTTACCCAAACTCTTGTCATCCCTTTAACCGGCTGCACTCATGCATATCGATCGTTTTGGTTATGTTATTGATCAACACGCTGTAATGATCAGCTCAGTTGAGTTTTACTCGAGTGAGGATTCTTCACCAGTCAAAACGTTTATGCAACTTGGGTTTGAAAACAATGTTTGAACCCGCACGGAGTGTTTTTTTATTCTTCTAGAGCCCAGTTTTCATGAGAAAAAAATGTAAATTGAAAGTAATCAGGCATCTGCGTCGTGAGACAAACCTCGCTGGACATTTGCACCCAGTAGCTCTCGGATTCATGAAAAAGCTCCGTTTCCTACAGAGTCATGGGCGTGAAAGAAGTATTACTCGCCTGTGTTCACATGACTGACTGACTCAGCACTGGCTTGTCTCGATCGGTCATTTGTCAGCTGGTTCGATTCCCGTATCTAGTAAAACACACGTGACACACGCATTGGATTAGCTAAGCGTGTGTTCATCCCGACCGTGAAAAGGATTGCCTCAACGAAGATGGCTAAAGCTTTCATTGTCGGGTGATTTTCGCGTCAACTTGTTTTCATAAGTAGTCACTTTTTAACTTTCATTCCTAGTGTTAGTGACGTTCAGGTGTGGAAAACAAGGATTTGGTAAAACTATTTTGACTGACGAGAGAAGAATAAATTCCTTGTTTGTTGGGATGAACTTGACTAAATTTTGTAATGTGCTTGCAAGATTCGGGATCATGATTGACCTTGATCACGTTCACGCACGCGTATGGATGCGTGCTGCCGGACTGGAAATTGTACCGTCATCCTTAAGTAGCAAAGTCGTTTGTGTGCACAAAGCAGGCCTCGGAGTGTGTTCATCCATCACACGTAGCTTTACTTTTTCAACAGTGTTCGTCTACGCAAATTCTTGTTGCTCGCCTTCTTATGTCAGGTAACTTCTTACTCAGACCCCACCCCCGTGAATGCGATAGCTGTCAAAACCGAGGCTATCTGAGAAAATACGCAGTCCGATTTGCATGAGTCTTGTGACAAAAACTAAGTAGTTGAATTATAATGAAATTTCCCTGCGGGGACCGAACACGCGAGAGATCGGCATCTACCGACGGTTGTCCATGAATAACTGTGTCCGGCAAAACTTACAGTTGTATTCTGTAACTTGCCATCACAAGGGTGAAAACCTTACCAGGACGGTAGGCTCGATAGACATGAGCTTATGTTTGTAAACCTTCAGTAAGACTTGGTGACGTGGTGATTCTGAGAGTAATATGGAGACGTGTAAGCTTACAGTAAGAACTCTGACCATAACGCATCCCCCTTCTGTAGGAGCTATCGAACCCGTCACCTACGGGCTACTTTCATGTACATCTAATCGTTCAGCCATGAGCGACCAATTCGCATTGTGATCAGCTAGCGCTTGGACAGGATATGCCAACACTCATTCGTTAATCAAGGAAATCGCATCACGTGGTCACGTACTGATTGGCTGCTCTGTGCCACTTGTGGTGTGATGGTTGTAAGAGCCAATCACACTGCTGACCAGCCATTCATGTCCCCAAGGTCGCACGTTCCGACTCCTCAGATTTTCGTGGTTGGCTTCGCTTAGGGCGCGAGATCTCAGATGAACTTGGCTGTACATTACCTGAATTAGGAAGGTGTGTACTCACGGCCATTTTCAAGGTGTGCTCCAAAGTTTGCACTTTTCACGATTAATATTGATTATCCTATCCGCCGCACATTTTGAACTAACCGTCTTACTCAATCGTGGGTAGTTTAAGGTAAACGTGACCTACTTTTGAAATATTGGAAGCGAGGCATGTAAACAGTATTCAGTATTTATCACGACTCATCAGAAGGTCAGCGGCTGTTCAGTTTGTTGAAAAAAATGCTATGAACTGGATCGGACAGCATATTTTAGCTGAATGTTGACTGAGTGAGTATTTTTTCTACTTAAGGAGACTAAAACACTAGCAAGTTGTTTGAAAGTTTGGATGGCTCTCAGTGGATACCTCGAATAGCTGAGAACGCTGTACTTTCGCAGATCCGAAAACAATCCGTAAAAAATTGGGCAGAGGTTTTTGGATTCATGTGGATTTATGTACGACGTGATATGTCACAGGAGATTTTTAGCTGAAATGATATCCAAGTTTGTTTGTAATGCACTACTCATGAGATTGCTGAAAACTCCTCGACAACCCACGACCGGTTTCACCCTTCTTGGGGCTTATCAGGTAGGCACGCAGTTTCCGAGTTTCCGTCAACCGAATTGCACGAAATTAGTGAATATATCCTCATTTGCAAACTAATTTAGTTTTTCGGGAGACTCACATGGAACCCAGCTGAATCCTTCGTGTGTGACGTTCTCAGGCAACTGAATGTGCTGCTCCAGGCCGTCTCATGTTTCAGTCGCTACGATACTCGAGATATCGCGATTCATGTATATCTTTGTAATGTACTACTCATAAGGTAGCTGAAAATCCGTCGGCAGCCCACGACCGGTTTCGCCCTTCTTGGGGCTCATCAAGTAGGCACAGAGTCCCCGAGTTTTCATCAACCTTGTGTTCTACTTGAAACTAAGTTGCACGAAATTAGCGTAATACACTCATTTGAAAACTGATTTGGTTTTTCGAGAGACCCACCTGGAACCCAGCTGAATCTCCCGTTTGTGATGTCTTCAGGCAACTGAATGTGCTGCTGAAACATGTGCGACTGAAACATGATGCGGCCTGGTGCAGCACATTCAGGTGAACCTTGTACTAGGTTGAATAATATCGTGATCTGATTTTCAGCCATATCTTGACGCCCACTTGAAGCCTACGCCAATCAGACTATGGTCTTCCGAGTCGATGGCCCTCACAGAAATTTGCACGTTGCCCGAAACAGTGTGAACGTGTGCACTGCATTGCAGGAAAGCACGAGGACCCTTTTGCAACAAACAACCGTCGTGCGAATTTTGCTCCTGTAACATAGTCTTTTGATATCTATCTGTGCTTTTTGGCTCCTGGTTGATTCCTTATAAGCGACAGTTCAGTACAGCGCACTTACTAACACATCTCTCATGCTGAAGCAGAATCTTTGGTGGACGAGAAGACTCTTGAAAGGGATGTTTCTATCATATTCAGAAATTTCTTTTTAAAAAAATCGAGAGAAAACCAGATTGAGCAACAGCTTGAAGTGCCCACCGTCATTTTTATTCAAATAATTTGCACTACTGATACAGTTTATGAGTAGTGTGTACTTTCGAGAGAATTTAAACTGAATACGGGCATATATCTGAGATGGACAGGTTTTATTGACAAATGTGAAATCAAGGCTCATACGTGGCATAAAACGAAATGTATACCTATCGTTGAAATTTCTCGGTTCCGCGGATAGTGGCGAAGCTTTAGCAATAATATCAATTATTCGATGTGACTACACCGCCCCTGCGTATTGATGTATTTTTTAGAAAGCTGCAGATTCAATCTTCAGGTTGTTTCTATCACGACAGGCCCTAAAAGCAGGCTTTGGTTTGGGGTGGATCAATGAATGATCTTCTCAGGGTCATTTGAAATAACCGAATAGGTCTGACGTTACACCAGAAATGTCTCCACCAGAAATGTGTCCGTGCACGATGTTTTTTAAACACGGAGCTATTGGTATACACTGTCTGGCTACCAAATGTTTGCACGTAAAACGGTCATAATGCTCAAACCATCGTCCTCAACGTGAAAGATAACATTAATTTTGCGCTCAGTACATCAAGAGGGGACTTTGAAGAACGCTCCTTTTGGTTTCCCTCGAATGATATACAGTTGTGGATTGTGGCCGGCAGCACAATTGTATCCGAAGGAGCTAGAGAAAGAAAGGAGGAGAGCTCGAGAAAACTTGACGCCGTTCAGGAAATGACTAGGCAGAAAACGGCAAGTAGAAAGTCACTATCATCCCCCATAGGCGCGAAGGTCAAGTGAAAGGATCATCAGAATCCTGGAAGGAGTGGACTTGGGTTGCAGAACCCGGGTAGTCGATGGTAACGGACGTTTGTCATTATCGACCACCGGGGGAACGTCTATACAATTCCAGACGTTCGGGGAACGCAGCTGCGCAATTGGCATGGTACACCCGAGGAGCGGCCGAGTAGACTCGCTGCTGAAGTCGACATGACGGAGGGGAATGTAAATCGGTGGTATTCGGATGACTTTTAAAGTGGAAGGTGTATAACGCTGGATACTACTGACGGGCGAGGCATGCGAGTAGTGTTTTCCCGTAAATCTGCTTCGCGTCTCTTGAAAAGTGGGATCCATTACGAAATTTGTGGAGTCGATTTGCAGCATCTGCTTGAATTTGAGTGACAGTCAATGAACATCCAGAAAAATCAGGAAAGTGCGTTGAAGGAGAATATGGATATTCAGTTTTTCAAACAAGATGCATACGAGAGTTGTGTTCAGGTCGTATTTGCTAACTTGAGATACCTATGGCGTCAGAGTGGTTTATCCCTGAATCTGAACGGACGTGTGTATCAAGCTATAGTACGGGCTGTTTTGTTGTATGACTGTGAGACTTGGCCCATTCGAGCAGCGGAACAGAGACGTCTTCACGTGTTCGACAATCGTTGTCTCAGAACCATAGCTCGTGTGGGT